ATACATTGCCGCGCGCCTCCCCCCCCCCCCCCCTCATATGTAAAATGACTGTCCCTGGCCAACAGAAGTTGATAGGACCTGCTGTTAGCTTGTCTCGGTTGTCACCAGAGGGCCACGTCTGTCCGTCCAGGGTTATGTGACTTCACAGTGGAATCAGATGTTTAATCAGAAGTTAAGGTAGACATCCCCACTCCCCACCCAGTGCAAGAGCAGTGAAGTCCATGGAGAATCACTTTAACAAGCGTGGACATTCTGAAATTAATGTCACAGTCCTGTTTGGTGCAAAGTGTTGTCCTTCCATGTTCTTTTGAAAATGTGGGGCAACAATCGGCTTGAGTTTTTTTGGCCTAACAGCTTTGAACCTTGTTAGTCTTAAAGGATGTCCTTGGAAGGATCGCAAAGCAATCTGGGGAGCTGGAGAGCCATGCAGACCGCCTCTATGACTCTATCTTATCCTCTCTGGACACACTGGCCGGCTGCACCCTCATCCCTGACAGTAAGCCAGTGGCAGCAAAGGAGCGCCCATGTGAACGGCTTTAACCTGGTAAGCAGAGGAGCCCCAGAGTTGATTAAGGTACAGAGCTCTGCTCTGCCAGTTGACTGCTTACAAGTGTACTGAGCTTAGGAGCTATGGAAACAAATGAAACACTGGAAAAAAACAGCCATGGTACTGGTAGAGAGGGTTGCCCCCATGCCTGAAAGGTGGCTGTGGCTCTTACAATGGTGACGAAAGCTTAGTACTCTCCTCAGTTTCAGCCCTACTGCCTGCCGAGGACAGGGATGCCCAAGGCTCCCATTTCTTTGACAGTCTGTCCACCTCCACCCCCAAAGATGACAGCAAATTTTTCCTACACCTGCTTTATTCGTGCACCCATACATGTTTCCCGTATGGCGCTGGGTTCACACCTGCTTTATTTGTGCACCGGAACACGCCTCCAGTATGGCACCAGGGTCAAGACACCCCTGTTCTGCAGCCTCCTGCCCCTCTCATTTGAAATGACATCTGCAAGCAGCTCTGACAGCACCAAGTGCCCACTGGAACCCAGTTCCTGGGAACTCTCCACACCCATGAAGGTCTCCACATACTTCCCCTATGACTTCTTTCCCAAGAGGGTTAGGGGATGCAAGAGAGTACCACACCTTGGGGACTTACCAAGTCGCACTGCTAGCTTTTGATCTTTTGGGAAAGTCAAACAGGGAATGACAGGAAAGGGGCTAAGTGTGGAGGGTGTGCCCACTCTGGGGCCGCTGCTCTTCCTAATTCCACAACTGGACTGTTCCTTCTCAAACTGGCTTTCCTACAACAGAATGTCTGGTGCTTAACTCAGTATTCTAGATGGAAATTCACTGTTGAGAACAGGGAGTCCCCGTATTTGCGCCTGAGCAATCTGAGTGGTCATCTCCGTCCTACAAGGAGCACAGGCGATAGCTGCTGCTGTTCCTTCCTCACCTCGGCAACATTTGCCTTTAACAGATGCTTCTTTCTCTTTTAGGCCTCTTCTCAGGCAGCGATGCAGTCCATCACCAAAACACTGGCTGGTGGGAAAGAGAACTTGTAAGAAGTCCTTGCCAGAGCCAAGGGGGAACTTAACTCCAATATACTAGCTTTAAAATGCCTTTCTCCCCCTGAAGTAAGGGCTACTGAGTTACCGTTTTTATTTACAGCAAATCCTTCCAAACTAAGGTTTTCCTTTTGGTGCTTCTCTATAAAGAGCATGTGGCTTTGCAATTTTTGATGAAGTAAGACTTACGGGTCTTGACATCCCTGCTGTCCAGTTAAAAAAGAGCCAAGCTTCCAAATTATTCTACTTGCTGAGACAGATCGTTTATAGAAGGCTGGTATGAGAAAGAAGATTCCAAATACTTGGTATCCTCAAGCATCTTAGAGGACCCAGGAGATAGAAAAAAGTAAGTGGTTGACCAGAAACCATGGGTCTTTTCACAAAGCTTCAGTGTATAAATCCCTCTTTGAAGATTTTTAGATAGGAACAACTTTAACCCTTAGTCTGTAGAAAAAAAAGGGAATACATGAATAGAACCTCTGTAAATTACTGTAGGCAGACTCAACCCTTCTACCATTTTCAGAGCTTATGTCTCCACCTTCCTAATATCTTAAAAGAAAACATGTCTGGGACTTGAGGAACTGTCAGTGTGCTTCAGCATGGCTGTGGAGCTGTCAAGCTTCAGGGTACTACCTCTGAAGGGACTTATCCCTTCACTCCTACTCTCCTTTGGAAGAATAACCCAAGGTCAGTGAAGGGAACAGAATGGATGGGATCACACAGCCTGGCTCATTGCAGAAATAAGCTGTCCATAGTGAAAGAAAAAAGGGAATTTATTGTTGCTTGGGATCTGGCATGTTAAGTACTTTCACAGAATAAAAGAAAAAATATGGACCAGCCATTCAATTCTATAGCTTTCTGAAGCAGAAAGAACTGTTGCTAGTAACCAGAGTCTACAAAACTCACGAGTTCTGTTCAGGCCACGAATGAACATAAAAGAGGAAGGCAGAACACACGGTAGCAATAGGAAACAAAGTCCTGTTATTAAGTGTGACTTTTCTAACTTCAAAACTTCCCAGATTTTAGAGTCACTGGAAAGTAGCTGTAGAATCCTAATATATAGAAATTAGCTATTCGGTAATAGCCACATATAAAATGCAGTACTTCCAGTGCCCGCTGCAACTGTGGTGTGATTCACCAAAAACTCAAGGGCATGATCAGAGTTACTTATAATTCTTTATATCTCTGTATTAATCCTGATTCCATGTATTGAGAGATCTAAAATGACAATACCTCATGGGGCCAGATGGTGATGACACAGCGGTAAAACACTATGTTCTGCAAGGCAGTCACACATAGAAGGGTTCCTGGTTCCAATCTAGACACTTCCCCGAGTATGCATGTGCTCAAGATCCAGAGCGGGGTGAGAGCTAAGGGTGAACTGCAGCTTTGGGACCCTGTTGGGAGTGCTGTAAGACATTCTTAAAAACCCACAATTGGTTAAAAAGGCAGATGTGCCTCTGTTACTAAGTTGATAAATTCCACTTCCTCTTTGACATGGATATAAACTGGAACAGGCCTTTCCACTCTGTGTTACAGAGTAGTCCTTAGGAATTAAACCAATTTCCTAGTATTTGACAGGCATGAAAATAAGTCTCTAGTAGCATAAAAGTTGATGACAACCCTTACAGAAACAAAACTAGCCATTATTATACCAACTAAATACTGAGTGTGACATTCTATTCCCATTCAACCTAATAACAATCAGATTCTGACTGGAATTTTCACAGAATATTCCATTTTGAAATACTGTTTCCCAGGGACATGCTACCTTAGCTAGAGATTATTTAAGATATTTTTGTTCATCTTTTTAAAATTTTTAAAAATGTTTATTGCTAAGGGCATGTACACTTGCCAGAGAGGAGACAGAAAAAGCACCCCTCCATGGATCATGGTCATGCTACAGTCCTTTTTTCTCCAACAAGTCAGGATTTTGGGTGCACACGCTCATGTACCTGGGGCATTTTTCAAGCCACCAGAGCCAGGTGGCTCTAAGTGGCTTCAAACTGCAGGCAGCTATGTGGGCCCCTGCTCATCCTGTTTGAAATAAGGTGTGACTAAACTCTGAACCTGGCTGTGAAGACCCCTGGAGAGTGTCAACATAGCTGCTCATTGTATCTTCAGCCATGCTTTAAGAAGTTTAAAACCTCCTGTAAGACTCAAGCTGAAATTGTTTCAGTCTCAGGAGATGCTGCCAACAGCATTTCCATGAGCAGACATGGCCAGGCCAGAGTCATGAAGCCTGGCAGGCTGGGCCTCTGTGGTCCCACCTGAGTATAAAAATTCTTACTATTTTCTTAAGTGGAATTTGAATCTGCAAAGAAGTGGCAATATCAAAAAGCTAGATTAGCCGCTTCAGGACCTGGGTTCTTGCAGGTCCATGGCTAGGCCCATAGGTAAACAGGAGGCAATATCAATAGGGGCTGTTTTGAAGCTTAAATGGCAACACAAAGAGGGGTCAATGTATGATATGATGGGGTGGTAACATGTAGCCAAAGGAAATTTCAAACTTTCAAACCACAGTCAGAGAACAGGAAGTTACTGTTCAGAGCGTAATGGCTGTCCTGTAAGGATTTCCCAGAGCTTACAGCCGCTTAGGTTTAGAACACTCTCCAGGTAACTATGTATGGCAGCCATTTTTGCTCAAAACATGGGAAGTGATAATTCTATTAAGTGAACAGATTATTAAAGCCCACAGTAGCCTTCAAATGTATGTATTTGAGAATGGAGGGGGGAGAAATGGGAATATATGTTTTTAAAAATGACATTTATTGCCATATACATAAAACAAATCGTGAAGCATGCTGCAGTATGTTGTGCACTAAGTCCCGACTGTGACTGCCATGGGGGAAGAGAACACTAGAGCTTTTCAAACCTTTAAGTCTGTAAATATGCTTGTATCCTAAAATAAACTCATGTAGTATTTTCTGCTAACTCACCAAGAATAAGCTTTTGCTTTGTTAAAACTGAAGTGCACGGCATCACATCTAATATTCATCTTATATCACTTAGCTATTTGTGAAAAGTTTCAG